ACTTAGCCCTGTCTCCCTGCTCAATCCTGAGTCGCAGTACTTGATATCTGAGGACCTGGAGAATATTGAATCTCTGTCATTCCTCTCATATTCCTCCAAGGTCCTGGCGGGGGCTTGGCGGTTCCTCACCTACTTCGGGCGCGACAGTCTAATCTCGCTTTTACTACTTCGTCCGATTCTCAGCGAAGGTGAAGGACGAGCTGTGGAAGGTATCCTTGCGGCGGCTGTTGAGCGTATCGACTTCGAAAATGGTACGGTGTGCCACGAGGAAATAATCGGAGATTACGCAACCTTCCTGAACGAGCAACGAGGTGTGTATAGTTCGGAAGCTCAATGCGACTACAAGATGGTGGATACCGACTTCTTCCTCCCGATCGCCCTAAATCAGTACTTCGTCAATTCGACTGTCGGCCCGGCGCGCACGGGCGCCTTTCTAGCGATGAACGCTTCAGTTCTGGGGTCGAGCAAGGGTCACACCTATGACGAACTAATCATAGCAAACGCAGCAAAGGTTCTCAATGTTACTGCCTCTTTTGAACAGTCGCCTACGAGGGAGAATCTGATCCACTTGAAAGATGGGCAATCAGTTGGTCAGTGGAGGGACACGACCACAGGTCTCGCGGGAGGACGTATCCCGTATGACGTGAATACAGCTTTGGTCCCAGCAGCTTTACGGGCTATCTCATCACTGGCGAGTAACGGCTTCTTCGCGTCACACCCTGAATGGGCCCAGGTAGCAAGTGACCGAGCGAGAGTATGGGAAGACGAGACCCTCTCCTTCTTCGAGATCAACATCGCGGCCGATGAGGCTGCAAGCCTTGTAAAGGGCTACGCCAACAAATCCGGGTTTGCAGGCCCAGTCAACACAACCAATCTGACTTCCCCCGTTAAATTCTACGGATTAGCACTTGACGGAAACAATAACCAGCCGATTGTGAAGATTATGAATACGGATGACTGCTTCCGGCTGTTCCTCCTCAACCCAACGAACCAGACGCAGTTATCCTCGTTTCTTTCTCAGCTAGCCGACAACATCGTCCGAACCTTTCCTCTGGGTCTGTCTACATCGGTCGGATTAGTAGTGGCCAACCCTGCATATGGCGGGGACTCGGTTAACATCTCAGACTTTACGACCGGCACATATCATGGAACTGTGGTGTGGAGTTGGCAACTTGCAATGATGGCTGCGGGATTGGAGAAACAATTGCGACGTTGCGATACCGAGGAGCTTGATTTCTGCACAGACGCTACACTCCACGAGCGTGTTATCAAAGCCTACAATCACCTATGGGATGTACTTGAGAATAACCGCGAGCACCTAAGTAGCGAGGTCTGGAGCTGGATTTATCGAGATGGCGACTTTGAGTACACATCTCTGGGATCGGTTGGGGTTGGTAAGTTTATAAGCTCGGCATTTCTCCAAGCCGATACGTTGCTTACATGACTGGCAGAGGGCAACATCCGACAACTTTGGGGTCTTACCTTTCTGGCGGTGAAGAGAAACGACGCCCTCAGCCTGAGCCGGGCGATTGAATGAAAATTCCGGAATCCGCGAACAAGATATCAGGACACGGTGATCGGTAAAAACAGTAAGGCTAATGAAAGGTACGGCTATATCCCCTCCGGTCCTCTACTTCACTAGACGCAGCTGAAGGTGGTCAGAACCTAGGTCTTTCATTTCCACCAAGTCACCATGAGACTTCGGCAAGGGTTACCTTTGATTTACGATGGCCCAACGGGAGGCCTATCCAGCCTATGGGAAGAATCGGAACAATCGTAAGTCATCTTATGAACATTGGGATGGCCCTATTGATATCTTCTATTCTCAAGTCAGAGATGTCGAGATTGCACAATTTTGGAAGCGAAGAAATGACAGGGGTTCTTGCAGCTCATGCGACCGATAAGAGATCTATTATAGGGGCTGAAGAAATACACAATACGACAGCAATTCGTCACCTGAGATGCCTCCTGTCATGTGCCAAAAAACGTTTGCACGCCATCATCTTATTCTGTTTCAGAAGACTGCATCTCGTTTCAAGTTGAACGTTGAAGGTTATACAGTTCAATATTACGTCTCCCGCCGAGGCATTCTTATTCGATCAGGAAAATCTCGTGTTGGTGTGCGATGATGTCGGATGTGGTTTCAGACTCACTTATTTCGACTCTCCGACCAATCCTGAACGTGCACTCTTTTCTCCCTCTCCCTCGAGCCTAGCCCGGTAGAATATCGCTTCGCTAGCCCTTCTTGAACACGAGCAACACTCCAGTACGTATCAGATACATCGTCTGCCTAGATGTACCGAAGTCCCGGATGCTTCCATGCATCCATATTACCATTTTGGTCTTCGAGCATGTCAATCAAACCAGTAGTCCATGCAAACGCATAAGCTGTTGCGAGTGTTGAATCGCAGGGATACCTACCACGTAGACTATTCCCCGACGAGGCTGAGATGGCCAGTTGCCTAGCGAACCGGTCCGCGGCCTGTCTCGACGCAACCCAGTTTCTACTTTTTTGCCTACCTGCTCAGGAATTCCACTTTGGACCTAATGCTAGTGGAACGGCTTTCTTCTCCGAATTTCCGTTAACATGATTTCTAGCATGAAGCCTACGGATTGACCGCCCCCCCTTTTCCCCCAGATTCCCCTTGCGCCATGCTGTTTTGCTGTGTGCGGAAGATCAGATGTCTCGAAATTCCAGGTACATGGCTTTCTGTAATGGCTGGGGTCTGTCCATGGGTCGGCTGCACGTCAATCTCTCGCCTCCTTCTCCGCCCTGGCTCAGTGACACGCTCGCTGAGCTAATTTGTCCCAGGGGTTGATCTGCATCGTCCTCATCTGACTCAGGTGACTCCATTCTCGAAGTCCGGAATCCATCCCGACCCAGAATCCCTCCCTATCTTTACTACGACGTCCGTCCTACATGGCACTAGGACCATTTCGATCATTGCGTACCGTGCTCCTGCGTTAGAGACTTTCCCCAGTCGGGTACCAAGAGCACCGAATGCCTTCGCCCACCAATACGAGTGAGCATTGGCAATACGTATGTCGTTCGGCATGGACTTGTCTAGCAGATGACTGAACAGACGAGACGGGGCAACGGGCGGCGGCCGGTAGGGCTATTACGAGCTTCTCTCCCATGGCTCTCATGTCAGTCGTGTGGTATAAATCTCTGCGTATGCCCCCCCTGATCTTCACTCTTCCAAATGGCTATATCATCGACCTACTCAGTTCTTCGCTCCCTTCACATACTCATTGCCTCGTCTTGTCCAGCTGGAGTCTTTGAAGCATAATACTCATAGATCTCCACGTAACCCTCGAGCTTGGCAAGCTCCCTTCGCTGACTAGCATATATCTTCTGTCCTTACGTCGTCCCTCGCTTACCTGCATTCTCGCGCCGCAACTGCGCACTTTCAGCCTCCATCACCCGGTACCCTTATGGTTCCTGCACAGCTCCGATCCTTCGAGCAAAATACACGAATCGGACAGCGTTAATTACCTACCCAGGTACCTATCCAATCCGATGGCTAAGTCACCGTCTACCGTGGGAGTCTTCATGAGCACTTGCTCGTCGAGCCCGTAAGCCTTCCTCCCATTCCTGGAAAAGACGTCAAATAACGGAGACGTGAGAACTGACGAGGAACGAACCCCTATCCGCCAGACATTCTTCGCCCAGCTCCTCCCCGGCAGACCAAGCTTCACTGGAAGCGCAACGCCTCTCGTCAGTCACGGACCGGGCGGGCAATGGCGATGTCGTCGACCGGCTGGTGAGCGGTGGGAGTCGTGACCACACGGCGTCGGTGCAGGCGACGCTCGATGGGCTCGCTCCGCATATCAACTCGCTGACCCAGGGCGGCGGGCGATAGAGTGTACACCCACAAGCACGCACACGCACACGGCACAGATACGGCTCTACAGAACGTATCCAACTCACAACATGACGATCACGGCTTGGCCCCACGTCTATGATGCGTGCTGGTGCTGATAATCTCGGATGGAGTAACTATTAGACGGACGGCAGAGAAAATGGGATAGAGGAACGGGTTACACTGGTTGCTGGTTATGACTGAATCATGCATGGGCTATTTCTTTTCAAAAGAGATCTTTACTCTATAGACTACCTTTTAATTTTCGGTCTTGTCGGGCTTTAGGGATACATGTATCATGGTGGCATTTGTGTCTACTCATCCTTCTGAGGGTTGTAGCCGCGCGGGGGGGTTGATTACATAGGATCAATGGTTTAATTCATTGGATATGGAGTCTGTTTTTTCTTAACACGATTTTTTGGCTTTTCCCCTTTTCCTTTAACGCGAAGTAGGGATTCAATAAAATGTGGTTTTTGAATATCCAGATCTATTTCTCTATCTCTTTCTCCCCATCCCTCCCTTTTGCTTTCTCTCTCCATGTGACTCGGCTGAGTCTGCTATGCACCAAGACTTGTTTCATCGTAAGAAATTTCACAGCAGCAACCAAACCAGCTGTGCGATAATCATTGAAGAAAGAAGGGGAAAAAATCGACAGTCAAGCGATATTGCAGCCCTGTAGGTGCGACACGGGACTCTGCAGCTGCAATCTCGGCAAATCCTTCGATACCAGACAATGGGATGAATGAACCTGGGAACTCGAGTACACGGGTACCTGCTCCGTGGATGGATAGCTGGTCATGATGCCTTACTTAGGTATGTATGGCGCAACCTACCTATGTAGGTATGCAGTTGGTGATTCGTGATTCCTTCAGATTAGCAGAACCCTGAATGCCACGTGCTCATCAGGGGCCTAGGTTACGTCTATCAGTCAAAGCCCCTGAAGGATTCCCGCTTTTTGGTGGCAACCAGTGTTTCGGTCTGCGGAACCAGGTCCGAAGTTTTAGTTCGCAGCTGGAAAGGGTGCTTGCTGCATTGTAGAAAATTGGTTATAAGAATATCAGGAAAAAATAAAGTCATAAAGAAGGCAATAATAATGTTTCATTACCCTCTCCAAGGTGGGAAGCCCAAAAAAACAATCGATCCGGGCAGGGATCGAACCTGCAATCTCTTGATTTCATCACTTTTAAGGAATCGTAGTCAAGCGCCTTGCCATTTGGCCACCGGACCTTGATGTCAAAACATGGGTAGTGACAGTTAAATACTCAGCTACTCCATCGCCCCGCCTTACCCCCGGCGCCCGCCCCCCAAGAAACACAGATTCTTACAATGACTTTGCAATGAGCACACCAATGCAAACAGACAAACAAATCATATGTATGTAGACACCAAATCCGGGCTGCAAAGTAGGTACTTGATTTACCCTACATGATGTAGATACGTACCTAGTCACGCAGTATTACAGGATCCTGATCTGCAGAGGCCGGCCCCCCTCTCAAACCGCAACTAGGTACGTACTTACTTGTAGGGCGGACGAAACAAACAAACGTAACCACCTGCCGAAAAGAGAAATAAACAACGATGACTTGGGACCTCCGGAAGGGCTGCATACAATGGAACGGTACCAGGGTTTTCTACTTGCATGCATAGTAGTAGGAGGTGGTGTTTTCCAAGTAAACGCACCGCCATATTCTTAAATGACGTATGTCTCTAAAGTAGGTATGGTCTAGATACCTACCTAAGGTAGGCACCCTGGTAAGGAATGATAAGAAGTCTTGGAGAAAACGCCACATGAACCGGCATGCGACGTTTCCTTGCCGCTCAAGATTATGGTTGCTCAAGATTTTACCTTTTTCGCTGCCGGACAGGCGTGAGCCGGATTAAGCTTGCACGCATGGCGGGGCGTATCTATCAAGGCACGGTTCGACATTCCGTTTCCTTTTTCTAATCACTCCTCCTGCAGCGGTTGCTCTATAATAAACGGGCGGCGGAAACTCTTTTCTCTTCGTCCCCCTTGTCGGCCGCCTCGGATCGGGACCGCGCCGGCGCGCTGGCTACCTGCAGATGGCCAGCAGTCGATCCAGCAGCGTCCCGAGTCACAACTACTACATTCGCTCGCTCAAATTGGAAGGTTGGTCCTGAAATCTACTGCTTTGTGGATACTCCAGACCCGGGGAGGGGGAGGCGACGGATGAACGAACCGGTCGGTTCCTGCATGGTGTGGGTGTGAGTGAATCAACAGGCGGTCGTCCCGGCGAATGTCCTTTGCCTCACATGTATCAGTCGCGAAAGCGAGATGACTATTGTCGCAGTGCATTTGGGGAAGATATGTATGTACCTCTAGGCGGTGGTAGGTAGGTCTTTGACTGGCGTAAAGATGTGTGCAGCTAGATGTAATAATAAGTACATGATACGTAGATATTCCCTGGAGATCTATCTGACCGCCCCTGGTGCCTAGCCTCGGACACACCGCCGCCCGCCGTTCGATTACCACGTGGAGGCCTTGTCGCACTGCACATCACCACCACGAATAACATAATCCTTCTCCACCGCCCTCGATCGGAGTCACACACCGCCCAGCTCTCAGGATGGGCTTTTGTGTCGATCTCGTGACGTCCAGCAGGGGGCGGGTAAACAGCCACTTCATACCGAGATGAGAAGCGAGAGAGAGTTTCTGCAATTCGACAGCAATAATAAGCTTGAAACGGAGAGAGAGAGAGAGAGAGGAGATCGTCCGGAGCAGATCTCGTGCGCATGCATGCCTGTTGTCAAGTTGGAAGGCGACACGCGGCCGTAGGTAAGGCTTACGCTGATCATTCATCCATCTATCTACATATCTGCCCATCGGATTTGAGTGCCTGGGAGGCTCCAAGTAACAAGTGAAAGCCAAAGCCTATCGCACGCACTCTAGGATTATTGAGGAGGTACCTACGGAGTACCTTCATAGATAGGTATAATACAAGGTGTTGAGGTGGTTCCCACGTACGGGGCTTATTGCACCCTTGAAAGAGTCTCGAGGTCACGAGGAAACATTCAAACGCACTTCTACTCGTCCATCGTTGAATGTCACAGCTGCTCCAGTCGGTACCACCAGGATGCGCCAGCATCGGAGGCAATATGGCTCGTCAGAGATCCGACGCAGCCCGGACGGAGATCAACCCCCAGAAGAAGTAAGTATATCCGTCTGGATGGAGGGCGGGTTCTGGGATGAACAGACAGCATTCGGTAGATGGTGGGGGAAGTACATGAGGCAGGCAGACTGTGAGCGAATACAAGGCAAAAAATGTGAGTGAATGCAAGGCATGTTGAGTGAGAGTGGGGAATTTCAAGGCAACCAGGAACATCGGCTGGGAGGGCAGGGCAGAGAAAGAGGGAGGGATTGCCCAGCTCAAGACGATCCCTGATTCCACGTGGTCTCCCTGTCACTCCGTTCAGCCCGTCCCACACCCATAGCCCTCTGGCCCTTGCCAGGGCCCGTACCCTTCCTCATCTTCTGCTAAGTAGTTACGAAGTACTTCCACCCCTTTTACCACCCCTTTTACCACCCCTTGTTTACCACCCCCTGCTCCATTTTGCTACCCTAGACCGACTTTGTCACCACCTCTCCTACCGACCGCTCCGAACGCTCCCCGACCGTTTCCCCGGGCCCCGACCCATCGACCCAATGATATCCCTCTCCCTAGCGCCAGTCGTCCGATCCAAGTTGTCTGTGTCAGCTCTGACATCTATAGCAGGTGCTCAGGCCGGTTCATGGCAGGCGGTAACATCACACAAGCCAAGGACTTCCTTCTCGAAGCAGTGCTGCTGATGTTAGCCTCCTCGGATAATCTTTCTCTCTTCGTGCCTATCAGTCTGCCGATCAACACATGCTGAACGAAGGACTTTCGGTGAGCATAACTCTTGGATATGTCGGCGTGCATACAGACGGACGAAAAATCCAGCATCGGAGAATTTGTCAGTCCCGTCTAGTGCTTGCATTGCGTTTTCCCTCTACGAATAGGATGATTATCAGCATGAAGGCGGTGAGGAAAGTGGTGACGATGACCGCTACGTACGCACACTGAAGTGTCATTGGGTTATTATTCACTTGGGGAGGCGGATACCCGGATGTGGTCGGCCCAGCTAGACCACCGCATCCGCCTGTCGGCTTCTCAAGCCAATCCCTCAACGCCTGACGCAAGAACAATAATAATAATAAGCTCGGGCAACAAGACCTGTTGCTACTACTAGGACCGGGGGCCCTAGGTCGAGCCTAGAGATCGAGTGTCTGAGATTTTCGCTTCGAGAAGGTTTCCATGCATATTCCTTTGCTAGGTTTCGACAGGGGGGTTCAAAGGACAAGTCAGACCGCATATGGCCACCTATCTATATCTTGCTTGCTTCCTTGCCGCAATCAAACGAAGCGGCTGCACCTATGAGGCACGCGTTATTGCGTCTTCATAGTCCGCGCAAGACATAATTTCCCGGGACATCAGGTCATTTTTCTTGGCACTGGGCACACGTACAACTCCTGCGAATCTAGCCCCTGATCTCGGTCACCGCCGCGCCAGTGTCATAGCAGGACTATGGCTCGAAATAATATAAATGTTTTTTTTTATTGCTAAAAAGTTACAAGCCCCTAGGTTAGGTAGTCTACCACGACTCTCCAGTTGAAGCAAGCTTATGCATATCGTCGTCCCCGAGCCCCTGAGCTTAGAACTGGGTAAAGCAAGAAACGACACGGCCAAAACATTGGAGTTTGCATTATTATCAGAAGGCCCCATCACATGCTACAACACAGGCGTCGCCCTGAGGGCTTATCCTCCCCTCATTAACAAGAACAGGCTGGCAAGGACCGACCAGCCCCCACGAGGTCGCTCAAGTTTCAGTAAGCGCCGGGACAGACAGAATACCACCCCTGACGAATGACGAGTCGGCGGTCCCAGATTGAATGTAACTTGGGAAGGTCAAGGTAGGTATCTGCTTTTGCCATCACCGAATCCCAATGGACGTTGGTGATCACTGCCTGCCGCGTAAACATCGAACCTACTCATGTACGTACTCTAGTGATGTCAAACATGACATGCCCCAGTAGCCAACCGGGGCTAGGTATGATCAACCCAATTCTCACCCCGAGCTTACGTAGGACTTGGGATATTATTATATGAAAAGAGTGTATTCAGAAGCACGCGCTTATGTTTCGGGCTATCTTTGATGGTCAAGTAACTTCATATGCGTGTGGCCGAAAAGCTGGACCATCATTGTCAACGGGGTCCTCCTCCTCCTCCTCCGACGGTGTACTTCAATCAGCTCGTGAGTTGATCGATCGACACAAACTCCCTATGTGTTGTATTCGATCTCCCTTTCCATTGACTCTATCTATCTGGGTTCGGATGAACTCGTTCGGCGTCACAGACGAAGGTGGAAAAGAGCCCGCCAGTTCTGCGGCCGGCGGTCGTGATATATACATACAACACGATGCTGCGCAAGATATATCCATTCATTCCCCTCAAGTCTTTCAATACAGTAGATACCACATCGTACTTAATTACTACCTCATACACACAATTCCAAAAAGAGAGTAGTCCAATCAACTGCCAACACACCAATCACTTTTTCCGGGTTAACCCGGTCTTCGCTTCTCCCCCCAACCTGGATTAAGGAGTGAGTCTTAAGGGCCCCTCTACCTCCTTTCTCTCTTCGCAACTTCACTTAGACTATCTGATTACCTGCGCTTCGCAATACCAGTAAAAGACGCCACACGACCCACAAGCACACACTCATCGAATACTTTCGCTCCTAATGCTGTTATTGTGGGTGATATGCGTACCTGCTCCATGATCACGATCATAACTCTCCATCTCTCCATCTCTCTCTCTCTTTCTCTCTTTCTCTCTCCATCTCTCTCGTTCCAGACATCGATCTTATCGGTATCTCGTACGCCCCTTTCGACGTCTTTGAACCGCGCCGCAGCAGAGTAGACCGATGAGCCTCCCCGCCCCCTTTCCCGTAAGGGTGTCGTCGTCGTAGCTATCTGATCGTCCCCGTACACGTCGGGAAAGACAATTCTGTTAGGGTTTGAAAAAAAACGCGTGAGGCGCCACCGCGTCTATCACATACACAGGGCCCGTCCGTCCGTCCGTCCATGGGTTGTAGATAATTCCTATCTTTCTGCTTTGGATCCATCGACCTCAGGGGACCGGGTCATGTTTACTTTATTGTTTACTCCTCATAGCCGGACCGGGCGCGCG